CCCACACACACATAAGGATGGAAATGGTCGCTTTTAAGGACAAGCGGGCTAACCCAGATTTCGGGGGTTTCCAGAAATCTTGACCTACCCCAAAAGTGGGCATTGCCCTTCCTATAGGAGAAGTTTGGTTTCATTGGGGTGTATATTTGTTTGGTTATAGAGAAAACTCTCCTTGTATTTCAAAGAGACTAAAGAAGGATTCAAAAACTTTAACTTCGATTTTCTCAAAACAGCATTTGTAAGGAGTGCTGACAAATGAGTTACTTCTCGCATTCCACAAATGGAGATATTGGCTAAAAATGAACACGGGTCAAATTTGTAGATTCTCCTATTGATGCCATACCCTTTAAGTAAAGCATGCCTTTTATTATTTCATACTTATAAATTGTAAAAACTTCAGCTATAAGTGTGATGTATCTAGATCTGTTTCCTTAGCCTTAAGGCTTGAATCCGAGAAGTTAACTCATTTTGTCAGCACACTTCACATTTATCGGAAACGCCCCCTTGTGCTTGAAAACAACCAAATGGGAAGTGGCTGCTTTTTCACGCGCTTGTCTTATACAGGTGGCAGTCAGAGCACGTTTGGCCTTACGTTACGCTCTGAGGACGCGATGGGCGTTGCAAATGGTCAGGGAAATATTTTTTTTTATATAGCACTTACCCGACCATCGTCTGTACATTATATGCGTTTATATATGGTACTTTCACAACAAATATCTGTATTTATAGTAATTTTGCAACAAAGAACTGTATTTATAGTAATTTTGCAACAAAGAACTGTATTTATAGTACTTTCTCGACAAACTTCTTTGGTAGTGTCTACGTTCTCTAACTTTAGAGAACGTATACAAGTTGTCTACGTTCTCTAATGTTAGTAGAGAACCTAAAAATAGCTCGCTCGCTCTATCTAACATGGAAACGAGTCGATATTGCTGCTTCCACAATGCTTACTCTTTATTTTCGAAAGCTATTAAGTTTACTTTCGCGAAATTAAAATGCTCGCGAAAGTAAAGCTGTCTACAGTATCGCATCTTACCTTTACAGCGACGTTAAACCCCTAACAAGCAACCAACACCTTCTATCATTCCATCGAGCTGACACCAACGCCACCCCCCCCCCCTTTCATAATAATATGTTGTAGGCCTACACTTTTCACCCAAGGAAGGCGCACTCTGATCCCCCCCCCCCCCCCCCCCCCTAAAACTTTGAATAAGTCACTGGAGATCAGTAATTAGTATTTAGAAGATATTTGCAGTTTACATGCGATTTCGTATTCCCACCTCAAAGCCAAGGTAAGCATAATATGTGATACAACGTGAGAGACCATAAATGATACCAAATTCACATGTGCGGAAAAATATTGCCGATTTGTTGTGTGATGTGACATCACTGTCATGAAATCAAATCACGAGGATCAAGGTCATGTCAGTCATATCAACGCTAGGTCTACGATAGGCCTAGATGGCTAGATCTAGTGCATGAAAAAACCCAATTCAATGAGTGGACTGGCGGACCTATTTGATGTAGATCTAACGACACAATATAATGTAAACCAATTGGAAAAAAAAAGAAAAATTGAAAAGTAGCCTAGCCTTATCCGGAAGTTCAAATAGGGCCCTACAGGCTTAATATTGTTACTTTTTTTATTCGTTAGAGAACGTCGACATCTTGTATACATTCTCTAAAGTTAGAGAACGTAGACACTTGCAACTTCTTTAATTGTGTATTTATAGCACTTTCACGACAGAGATATATATTTATAGTACTTTTGCAACAACGATCTGTATTTATGGCACTTTCACGACAAAGATCTGTACGTTAGGTATTTAGAGAAGTTTCACAACTAACTTCTATTCAATATGTATTTATAACATGAGCACTTTCGAGACAAAGATCTGCTTTTATGGCACTTTCACGACAAACCCTTATACTTATACATTAGGTATTTTTAGCATTTTCACGACAAAGATCTGTACATTACGTATCTTTAGCACTTAAAATTTCACGACAAAGATCTGTACATTAGGTATTTTTAGCACTTAAAATTCCACGACAAAGATCTGTACATTAGTTATATTTAGCACTTAAAATTTCACGACAAAGATCTGTACATTAGGTATTTTAGCACTTTCAAGATAAAGATATGCATTCATGGCACTTTAAAGACAAACTTCTATGCATTATTATTTTATGGCACTTTCAGGAAAAAAGATAATTATGTACATGTATTTGTTGCACTCTCACGACAAAGATCTGTATTTATAGCATTTTTATGACAATCCTTTATATGTGAGGCAGCGTAGTGGAATCAGGCTCTCGTCAAAATAATCAAAATGAAGAAACTTGCATTTTTCCACCGGTTTGTGAATTTTTATTAAAATTTAGTTTTTTTGGCTCAACACCTTTCATGCTCATTAAAGAACTCATTTCTGTGTGGATTTTCCAGAAAAACGTTGATTAAAGGCACTCAAAAATGTGAATTTTATTTTCTCTTACAACGGACTCTTAAGCTAAGGAAATATCTAATCTTTGGCGGGCATTTTCTCACCTCTAAAAACAGGTGACCCCCACCTCCTTCATTCACAAATATATCGACTTGTATTCTAGATAAATGGATATTTTTTCATCCATATAAAGACAAGTGAACACGCTTTAAGATGATACCAATAACTCTACATGCCCGAAAATTGACGAGAGCCTGATTCCACCACGCTGCCTCACATATTGCATTAAATCTAGATCTAGGCCTTTTTAACTCTTTTACGACAAAAGTCTTCTCATTACGTATGTTTAGCACTTCCATAAAAACGATTTATTTTATAGCACTTTTACGACAAACGTCTATATAAAATTTAGATTATTGTTTTTTATATTACTGCGTGTGTATGCATGAATGTGCGTGCACTCGCGCGATCGTGTGTGTGAGGGAGGGAGTTTGAGTGTGTGTGTGTGTGTGTGTGTGTGAGAGAGAGAGAGAGAGAGAGAGAGAGAGAGAGAG